TGGTCTATTCCCTGCCTATTTGCCAAATCTTCTTTTCCAACTTTTTGACCTTTCCTCACTCTTCTCTGGCATTACTGTTCTGCTCCTCAAGCACACCAAGATGTGAGAACATGAGGCTGTTGAAATGTCACATGCAGCTAAGAAGAGCTTACTGCAAGCCTGGGAGAAGGTGAAAAGTTCCTGAGAAAGTGGAGGGAGGATAAGATCCAAAGCCCAGGTTGGGAGTGGAATAGGGGGTTGGGGGTGTCTTTTCCAGTAGAAGAGAGGAAGAGATGCCTCCTCCACCTGATGCAAAGAGAGAGACCAGGATGCAACAGAAATCATTGCCGGATCGGAGGCCCAGGAGAGAGTCCTGCTGAGGAGTCGGGGGGAAGGAAAAGGGATCCAAACCAGTCACAACAAAAACCAAGCCTTAGGACTGGTCTAGAGTTAGGAGTGGAGATTAATGGGTTTTCACTTATCTGACAGGTATTTATTGAGCACCTGTTGTTTGCCAGGAACTGGTTTTAGGCATTGATACTGGTATCAAATTACTTTGGCTCAGGCACTGAACTTAGAAACAAAAGGAACCCTCGCTCAGTAAGACCTTGGAATGTATCTTTTTTGAGCCTGTTTTCTTCTCTGTAAAGCTGTAATAATAGTAGTGCATGCTCTGTTGATTAAAATAGTTCATTATATAATGCTGTGAAGGGCTCGACATTTGTCATCTGGCAGCTTAGTGGAATAAAGGACCCCTGTCTGTTGTGTTCATTGTTACATTATTGGGAAGGGATCATTGATGGAACGAATGAGTGAATGAATATAACTGATTCAGAATCTGTTTTATAATAGAAAGGGGGAAATTGCTGCTTCATAGATTTCAAGCAGCCACTGGATATCTTTTTAGTGGCAAAATAACCCAGGTAACGCAGGCCACTATGGTTGAGATGGACTTAACCATTTGGACCTCAAATGCAGGAACTCTCTTCAACGTTCATCTATACTATGATGCTCAAAGCCATATAGGTACCTCTGCTCCCCTCCTCCTTCAGCAGAACCTTTTCTCATGCCTCACCCCTCATTGCTTTCTGCAGAGCTCTAAGCTAGGCACACACTAACTCTCCTCTATCCGCCGACTTGTAAGTTGGGTACCATTTCATCCCAGATGCTTCAGATAAAAAGACTCAAGATCCACAAAGACCTTGACAGGTTGTCAATTAGCTGGAGTAAAGGAGATGGATTTCAATGGGGCTCCATGGAAAGGCAAGCGCTGAGGTCTAAGAAGTAAAAGCCAAAGAATGGATGAAAAGAAAAGCTGAGCAGCTGCTCCTGTGCTAGAGAAAAATACAACATAAGCACACACACAAAAAATACATCTGCACATCCACGCCAGCATCTCTGGTTTTGGGATTTAGTGATATGGGCTAATCTTACTGGAGTTAGGTGATATCTCAAAGTAGTTTTGATTTGCATTTCTCTGATGATTAAGGATGGTGAGCACTTTTTCATATATCTGTAGGCCGTGTGCTGATCTTCTTCAGAGAAATTTCTCTTCAAGTCCCTTGCCCACCCTGAGATGGGATCACTCGTTTTCTTCTTGCTAATACGTTTTAGTTCTCTATGGATTCTGGTTATTAAACCTTTGTCGGAGATATATCACAGGAATGGAAGAAAAAGTATCCAATGTACACACACCTATTATGAAATTAATTTAAACCTTTTTATATGAAAGCTATAACCTAATAACAACCTAAGGATATGGGGAGGGGAGAGGGGGGGAGAGGTGTAGGGAGAAGGATTCAAGGGTTTACTTCTGTGGTTCATCTTGCAAGGGTACAAGTGAATATGAATGTTTTGACATAATAACATAGAAAGTTACATGAAGGCTATGTTAACCAGTTTGATGGAAGTGTCTTGGATTGTGTGTGAAAACACCACACTGTACCCTCAAAGTGCATTAGTGTACACAGTTACCATTCAATTAAAAAAAAATACATCTGAAGGGCTAAAATTTGAAAACGGCCACTTTTTGCATCAACATTTAATATGTTATACAGGATATGAGTTTCATCCTTAGGTAAAGGAATACATCTCTACAACTGAAATATTAATACAAAATAGGACGTCAGTATATTTCCTATACCGCAGCTGCATAAGTGGTCACCAGCCACCAGATCAGGAAGTGCAATTGATTGTATTGGCTTGAATTGGGATATACTTTTTAAATTGGTCCCTTAGTTTTCATATTATTCAGCCTTTTCCAATTTGGTCCAATCTAAGCATTTTTTTCATTGCCCTTCTGTAAGAATTGATGTAAGAGTGATCTTGATCTTGGGCAGCTGGCTTAAGTTAAAAAAAATGTTGGCATTAATTGGGCACTATTCTAAGTGATTTTCCTGTATTATCACATTTAATCTTCATTAAAAGCCTATGAGGGATGGACTCTTATTAACCCTATTTTTTAGACGAGGAATGAAGTCTCATAATGGGTTTAGTAACTCCATCAAAGTGACATGGGAAGCGGAACTCTTAACGCAGGCAGATCTGATTCCCAAAGGCTGTGTTATGTAGTCCTGCCCCTGCAAATTAGACAAATTGATCTGGTGAGGGGCAAATCGGCATGCACACATAAGGACATTCAGAATACTTTAGAGAATGTGTCACCTCAAGACAAGCATGGCTATTTATGGCCAAGGCTATTGCTTTGAACTGAAAACACCATGCTGCCCAGCCATTATGCTCCTAACAATGTCCAGGGCTATGTGAATTTCTCCACCAGGCAAATTCCTCTTGCCTAATAAAAGTGCTTGCCGAGAAAGCTCAGTTGCAATTAATTATTGACAGAGCATGTGAATTAGAGATAAAAGAGAAGTCATTCTTTCTCCACACACGCGATAGTAAATAAATTTAATTATGGTAGGAGAAGCTAAGGGATCTTCGTCTATATTAAGTTTTATTAGCTGAGACATTTAAAAGCATGTCATCACAACAAAGAGGTCTTGTGTAATCCTAAATGTACCACTTTGGTGCAAGGCTCGGAAGTGAATAGACTTAATGGAGCACATGGTGGCAGATGGCCTGTTGTACCGACAGGTATTGAACAGGTTTATCGTCAATTAACTTTAGTCTACATATGCCTACAGCAAATTGGCTGGATAATAGGATCCCAAGCTTCATTTTATCACTGATAGGCCTGGGATGATGGGGAGGATGGCATCAAACCCTTCTAATATCTTGGAGTTCCCCCATAAGAACAGGCCACTCGGAAGGCAAACACGGATGGTGGGGTCCGTGTGGAGTAGTAGAGAACCAAAAGATGTGGGCCCCGGTCTGGAATCTACAAGTAACTCTCTGGGCAACCTCTGGAGCCAAGAAAGGATACAATCTCACTTACTGAACCAGACCTACGCTAGGTGCTTTCACTCTATATGTCATTTTATTCTGAACTGAACTTTAGGTTAGGTTTCGGAATTTTACAAAGGAGGGCAATAAGGCTCAGAATGTGGTTCAGTTTGCTGAGATCACAAAGCCGGTCTGATTTCCCATTGCCTTCCCTGTCCCTGGGCTGCTGTTTTCTAATTTGCAGAATAAGGCCTTTGGAGTCAGGGGTCAACAACTTAAAGGACTAAATGGTAAATACCTCAGGCTTTGTGGGCCATATGGTTTCCTCCAATGTGTTCAGCTCTGCTGTTGTATTGCAAAAACAGCCATAGCTGATATGTAAATGGATGAGTGTGCCTTTGCTCCAATGACAGCTTATTTATGAGCATTGAAATTTGAATTCCATATAATTTTCATACATCAAAAATATACTATTATTATTTTGGTTTTTCTTCCACCATTGGAAGTTCATACATAATTCTTAGCTGGGGGTCACGCAAAAACAGGAAATGGGTGGTAATTTGCCAACCGTGGACTAGATAATCTTGGAAGTCTTGTTGACTGAGTGCAAACATTTTCTGAAAGCCTTTGCAACAATAATAATATCCTTAATGTATTAAGCTCTTACAACCTGCCAGATTCAGTGCTAAATGCTTTTCAAGCATTATCTCCCTTAATCCTTATGCTATAGTGTGAAGTCAGCGCTATCATTATCTCCATTTTAGAGATTATAAAACTAATACATAGAGAAATTAAGGGTATATCTAGGTTAATCATAACTGGTAATAGGTAGAACAGCAATTTAAACCCAAAAAAGGTTCCCAAGAAAGAATGTGTATGCCTCACGCTGCCTTTTCTGATAATGCACAATCAAGACAGTCGGGACATACAGGTAAAAAGAACTTCCAAGTATTTATCAACTACATTTGGTGATTCTTCACTACTGTCTATGGTAAAGAAACCATACTCCATAAAATAATTTAAGGAGGTTTATTCTGAGCTAAATTTGAGGACCATGACCCAGGGCCACACCCAACAACCTTGAGCAAGTGGACTCAGTGGTGGGGTTACAGTTTGGTTTTGTACATTCCAGAGAGATAGGAATTACCGGTGAGGCCATAAATCAACATGGGGAAAACACATTGGATTGGTCCAGAAGGTGGGACATCTAGAAGGAGGGGCCCACAGGTTATAGGTGGGTTTAAAGATTCTGTAGCTGACAAATGACTGAAAGAGTGAGATTCTGTCTGAAAGACCAGAAGTCAGTGAAAAGTCATGTTTAAGTTAAAGGATCTGTTAATTAGAGGCAAAGCAATGGACTGACTCAAGTGGTTTCTTATGAACATTGGGGCAGTGCAGGTAGAGCTTACATAGCCTTAAGCTTGTTAGTGAGTCACAAAGGACATCTCTGAGAAGGGGAGGGGACATGATGAGACCTGTCTGGTCTTCTTCCTCCTGGCCAGCAACTCAATTTTAGGGATTCTCTTGGCCAAAAAGGGGTTGAATCTGTCAGCCACTTAGGGGAAGCCTTAAGATTTTTAGTTCAAACCAGGTTATTTATGTTACCCATTTTATGCAAAGAAGTTTTCCTATTTCTGAGTAGGAATAACCATTGTCTCTCCTTTTCCTTCATCTTTTAGGAACGTGATGCCCAAGACTGTGGATGGGCAGATAACCATGGAGAAGACCCCGAGTTACTTTGTGACAAATGAGGCTCCCAAGCGCATCCATTCCATGGCCAAGGACATCAAACTGATCGTGGTGGTAAGAAACCCCGTGACCAGGGCCATCTCCGACTACACCCAAACACTGTCAAAGAAACCTGAGATCCCCACCTTCGAGGTGCTGGCCTTCAAAAACCGGACCCTCGGGCTGATCGACGCCTCCTGGAGCGCCATCCGGATAGGGATCTATGCTCTGCACCTGGAGAACTGGCTCCAGTATTTCCCCCTCTCTCAGATTCTCTTTGTCAGTGGCGAGCGACTCATCGTGGACCCTGCTGGGGAAATGGCCAAAGTCCAGGATTTTCTAGGCCTCAAGCGTGTTGTGACTGAGAAACATTTCTATTTCAACAAAACCAAGGGGTTCCCTTGCCTCAAGAAGCCAGAAGACAGCAGTGCCCCGAGGTGCCTGGGCAAAAGCAAAGGTCGGACTCATCCCCGCATTGACCCTGACGTCATCCACAGACTGCGGAAATTCTACAAACCCTTCAACATGATGTTTTACCAAATGACTGGTCAGGACTTCCAGTGGGAACAGGAAGAGGGAGACAAATGAGGCTAGAGATGTGGAGGGAAGGCTAGTGAATAGCTATGGAGGCTCCTGAGTCCTGATCCCCCTCCCCACCCTGGTGCTGCAGCTTCCCTTGCTGGGGTACCAAGCAGATCTCCTCCTTCATCCCACCATGGTTGCCTCCAGAGCTGCTGGCTTAGGCAGAGCGGTGGACCCCTGGCATCCCCATCGAAGAGCCAGGCCTGCCTGGGCAGCAGTATCTGGTTGATGCCATCAGATGGCCATCAGAATCCACTGTTGATTACCCTGTGCTAGTTGACAGAATCCGAAGACAGGATAAACAGCTGCCAATGTCAAAGACAATGCTATGAATGTTTACTGAGTGACCACAAAGAAAGAAAGGTCTACTCTATAGGGTTCTTACTCTAGTTTGGGGAGCCATGGTTCTACCCTTGTACCTGGCACAGGCACCTGCTGTTTAAACCCCCAGAAAGCACTCAGCACTCCAGGACTCCTAGGGAGCGAGGGCCTCCTTCTCTGGTGTTTCTGGCCTTTTCTTCAAAGGCCTCATCTCATAACCCTTGGACTTCCTCCTTTCCCACATCATGAAGGCAGAGGCATGCACGTTGCTCATCAAAAGAGCTGACACCCCTGGGAGCCTTCTTTCTAAGAGCCCCTCTAAGGAGGTTGGGTCTTTCTCTTCATGAGTAGTCTGGATTACACAGAAGCTTGTCCATATGCCCTTGCATCAGGATCAGGCCCAGAGGGCTGTGCTCAGAGAAATGTAATTGTAGCAGAGTTCAGAACCCTAAAGTTGGCAGAGATGAATGGCCTTATCCAGGGAGTGGAAGAAGAAATCCAGTCCTCTTGGTGGGAGGTGTCCTTACCTGAACACCCTCTTCCCCAAGCACTAGGATTCAGAGGCATGCTTTGAGGGTGGGCTTTGTTCCCTAGGATCCCCAGAAGAGAAAGACCAGAGCTGGCATGCCTCTCCCTAAGAATAACCCTTAACAATGCCAAGGAGAGCGGAGCAGTCGCCATCCTTCTATTTTCCCCACCACCACCCCCTCAGGGTCATCTCATGCTTCATTTTCTCTCTGCAGAGATGGCAGATACTGGGGAAATAGAGGGATGACTTGTCAGATCCTGTTTATGTGGAGTGGGAGAGAGCAAGGGCTGTCTGCGGACACCCCAACCAAGGGCTGCCAAATAAAGTGCCCCCTCCCATTAGTTGGATTCAATTACAATGTACCATTTGACATCAAGCACTTGGTCCCAGATTTCCAAAACCAGGAATTGTTCTGGTAAAACTGGAAATTTGTATGAGTGGGGGGAGTTAAAAATCTGTTCAGCTGTTATTAAACTGTCATTTCTCCCGCTGAATGAAAACTGTGTTGTTATAAAGCATAATGCAACCTGATCGATGGGTTTCAATGGTGTGTTTATGCTGGGCACCTGCACCCCCACACCACCCTGGAATGCCAGGGGCTTCCTTCCTCTGGGGTGGCCAGAAAGGCCCAGATCCGAGAGTTTGGGGTGGGTTCTGTCTCCAAAGCAGGCTGATTCTTGCAATGGTACAAAGAATGTGGCTCCTAAAAGGAGTGCAGCCTTTCCTATCTTAGCCAATCCTGGCAGGGTAGGGACTGGCAAGGGCAGATTTGGAAGCAGCCTTACAAATGCTTTTTCTAGATAACAAAGTGGTTATTGAACTGGAGGCAACAGATCTACCTGCATTATCAAATAAAAAAAGAGGGAGATCAAAATACACACACACACACTTGAAGGAAGAAATGTGTGTTGCTTATTCAGAAGTATAAACTGTGGGACTGGCTGGGGGAGGGACTTCTTTTAGAAGCAGAGCAAGGAGTGAGTTTCAACCTTTTACACATCACAGTTGTGGAGTTTGTTCAAGATCTCAAAGCTTCATTAATAAATAGGTCTGATATGCTCAAGCTCCATGTCAGACCTATTAATAAATCAGAAATACCAGGATGGAGCTCTGGTGTTTATCCTTTCAAAATTTCTCTTATAAAAGCTGGAACTTAGAACCCCTGGAAGAGAATTTTGTCTGTCTATTCTTTGCCCTCCCTTCCTCCTTTCCACCCCTTTTTATGCTTCCTTGGGAATTATTCCCAAGGGAAGTAGCCCCGAGGGTTCTATGGCTTCCTTGAGGGGACATAGTCTCCTTTGAAGTAATGGCAAGTAGGTAAGGGGTGACCTTATAACTCAGTCAAAGGTGTCTCTGGTTTTAAAAAGCCTTACAGACTTTAATCTACGGTTAAGAAAGACCATTACTCTAGGCTACCTTCGTCTCTTCCATTCTGGTTGGACAAACATTCATTCAGTTCTTTCAATCACACCTAGTCACCACCATCCACTGTCTACCTGTCCCCATAAGCCCAGAACATCAAGACTTGCTTCTAAAGAAAGGTATTAAGCCGGTGTCCTCACACAAATATGTCACAACAATTTGACAAGCAAATCCATTTTTAATATGGTTAGCCAATGGTGAATAAGCCATTTCCCCTAAGAAATAAAAGTGGGGAACCCTCCCCTTAAATTATATACACACCCTTGCATGTAATAGTAGACAAAAATTCCCTGGAGAAAGAGGGCAGAGGCCTCGCTAAGCCTTGGGATCTTGAGGATATTTATATTAAAGAGTCTGTTAGGAGATCTTGTTGAAAGCTCGTGGTTCTAAAAAGAAATGAAAATTTCACATGTTTAAGGTCTATTTTCTGCGGTGTCTACTCTGGCTTGAACCTTGTCACTCTGGGAGTGAGTCACTAAGCCATGTGCCCTTCTTCAATAGGGAGGCTTGATGAAGGAATTATTTTCTATCCAGAAAAGCTATGTCAACTTGCTGAAATAGAGCCAGGTTAATAATACTTCCGCCCTATTTAAACGTGATCATTGCAACTCACAGGAGATTGAATTTCGTATTTGATTTCAATTAGCCAAACATAAATTATATTTAATTTTCTACCCCCTCCTTCCCCTGGAATGAATGATTCATGGGCTCTGGAAAAGTGGCTGTGTGTGGTTCAGAAACGAGAAAAGGAGATTCCATCCTTCCAAATAGTGCAGCTGTCAGTGCCCCTCCATTCCTCTCTTCAGCCAGTGTCATTTTGTACCTGAAAGGTTTAAGAGCCTTGACGTTGCCACATAGACCTACCAGCTCAAACCCCAGCAACAATAATAACACAGACATTCAGCAGCCCTGTTGATCTTTAGATGGTATATAAAAACCATGACTTCAGGGTCGTAAAGGTGTGGCCAGTCACAGGGATTCCCTGCAAACTTCAGAGGCACCTCAGACCAAATTTTAAGTCCAAAAGAGTATGGCCTGCTCTGTCCTTTAGTGCTAGGAGTCCCCAGTCTGTACTACACTTCTCTAAGACCTCGACTCTTGGTTCTTCCTGTTTCTTACCTTTCCCATCTCCCTTTGATTTGTTCCCCCCATTATTTTCCCAAGAAAGTTTCTCCATGACCTCACTACTGCCAGGAGAAAGAGAGCTGGGCCTTATCCTTGCCTTTGTCTGGGTCTTGGACAAGTAGATTGACCACCATTAACCTTAGTTTCCATATCTCCAACACAAGCATATTTAATCCGTACTGCCCTGCCACCCACAGATACTATGATGATCAAAATAATTTGGGAAGGTCCTTGAAAGGGATGCTGCTGATGATGCTGCAGACCAGGTGGGGGTAAAGATAAGGATGGTGATGATCATGGTGATGAGAATAATGCTGAAGAAGATTCAGAAGGAGGAAGAAGAGGAGGAGGTATCTGACACCCCTTCCAGAACTCTATGCCTCTCTGGTGTTCCAAGGGGATATCTTCAGGTGAGACTACTGTTTTGCTCAGACTGAACCATTATGGGAGTGCTAAAAGAAAGTGAGACACCCCTGATTTGCTTAAAGCCAAGGCCAAAGCAAAGCTCTCCATAAATAGCACTGAACAATTGAATTTCAGGTATTCACATACAAAACCTTCTTTCCTCCCAGGAACAAGGCCCCGCCTGCACCCCATACATAGGCAAGTTCCCCTCCCTCTGGCCTCTCCCTTGTACTATATTTAAGATTCTTTTAGATGTACCAAGGGTTCAAGATTCATTCACACAGGACCACACAAAACCCTTGTGAGGTAAAAAAGAGTGAAGTTTTCCAACTTCTAGGCTATGAACCCAGTGCCTGATGCTCTGACTCCTAACTGTTCACATGGAAGACAAAGACGGTTGAGAACCAGGGTGCATGCCTGGGAGTGGCTCTCAGCCATTTCCGGAACTAAACTCGGGCTAGGGGAAATCTCCTTACATTCTTTTTGTAACAAATTGGGCTTGGGAGAGATGAGTTCATAGAGGTATGTTTCCTAGTTTCCCAAAGAGATGAGGATTTGTCATTTTCAGACCTAAAAGATACATGAGACTGTTTTAAAATTGTGAAATATCTGGTATGATGAACTAATAATAGTGCATCATCTGTCATTCAGGCAGGAAATAAAGACCCCAAAAATGTATCTCCATTCATGGAAGATAAGCAGGAATCTCCACTGTCCCTGGGTACAGGGAAACAGCGCTGCTCCAGAATCAGTCACGTTTCTTTCAGTCTTTTATTTTAATAGAGTGACCAAGAGACATGGGAAGAGCCTAGCTGACTTGACTTGACAGGACTCCCAGCCTAATTGGGAAGCTGGATGTGGAAGTGCAGACCGCAAAGGATTTATGCTATTATGAGAAGTGGTGCTGAGGGTGCATGGGAGACGGGGCAGAATGAGGAAAGGTGGCATGGGGAATGACCAACCAGGAAAAAGGAAAGACCACCAAGTACTTGTAGCATTAAAGACCACCCTCAGCAGCATTTCATTTCATCCCAAACCATAACTGTTTTGCTCCAGTGCTAGGCAGAAACACAGACTGGTAGACACCAACAAAAGAAAAGATAATAAATACAAGATTGGTCAGTGAAGAAGGCTATGAGGCTGAGAATGGAGGAAGCGGTGACAACAGTGCAACTAAGGGACATTGTTACCAAGAAAAACCTTT